AATATATTATATATAATTTTTTCATAGATATATATATATATATAGAAAATATTAATTTTCTCACATAATGCTAAATAAATTTTAAAAACTTCTATAGAATTCAATGAAACTTTTGTACTATTTTAGATCTATAAAAAAAAATTAACTCTTATTGTATATTTAATATGTATGCAATTATTTTTTTCGTTATTTTGCTAATAAATTTGCTAATAAATCTTCAACCGCACAAATTCTAAATCTTCAACTGCAAATAAATTTATTTAACAGCACAAATTTTCTCTAAATCATAGATTTATATGTATTCTAGCCCTAAATCACAGATCTACAAAATATATCAAACATTTACAGGCTAAATGCAGAAATCTTAAGTTATGGCAAATAGATCTACAAAAAAATTCCACAAACAAAGAGATTCACATAAGAAACTAGAGAAGCAGTTTGAAATTCATAAATCTTTATTTATCTAAGCAAAATACACAATATTATTTATCTAAGCAAAATACACAATAATCTACAAACAATGAACTAACTTCACATAAAATGCATAAAAAAAACCCTTATCTTTGCTGGTTCCAGCGACAGCAACCGCAAGCGAACTGGGAAAAAATGAGGGAGAAGTGGGACAGAAACGGATCGGGAAAGGGAAAGTAGGTGTATTTAAATCTAAGTCGCCTGGTTAACGGGCGACTTATAAGTCGTCTGGTTAACAGACGACTTACGTTAATTCATTTAAATTGTCACATCATCTGCCGCGTCATCCTTGGATTAAACCTAAGTCGCCTTTTAACCGAGCGACTTTGCCTATTTTTAAATTCTTTCTAAAATGTAATTAATCTTATAGTTTAATTATTAATTATGCTTAGTTCTAAAATTTTGCCTATATTTTAATTAATCTCCAAAGCACAATGGACATCGCACCTATAATTAATTCAAATTCAGGGCAACAATTAACTTTTCCGTAATGTCATCAAATCTAGCGCGCTAGTCTCTGGTAGAGCTGCAAGAAAGTTGATGGAGGGGCCATATCTTCATAGGGCTCTGATTTTGACAAATCAAAAGGTCCTTCAGATCTGACGTAAAAAAAATAATTGTAATAAAGTTTTATGTTAAATGATATTTAAAATAATCCATTCTTCTAATCGGAACAATTCATGAACTGTACGCAATCTGGTTCTTCTTTTGCGGTTGCCAACTGGAATTGTTCTGGAAAAGACTGATAAGTAGGAGGAAATTAGATGCGATTCTAAGTACAAATTGACAAATTGCAAATTTATGAACATTTAAAAGAGCAAGACCGGCCCTTTAGGGTTCCACCTTCCCTCCAAGTCCTCCACTCGCAGAGGGAAAGAGGGAGATTACTCTCTCTTCCTCTCTCTTCCTCTCTCTCTCTACTTTGTTCTTTCTATATATAGAGAGACGTTCTGCTGTTGGTGAAATTGGAGATCGAAAGCTTCTGTTTTATTCATCGCTTGATCCCAAACCAGCCTTTCTATTTTAATTTAAATTTTCAGTCAATTTTTGAACCATCATTCGTTGATATCAGCAGTCGGGTCTGTTTGGTAGCGGGAATACAAGGTAGATTCACGATTGCTTAATCTATTTTGTAGCAGAGTTCTTTTTTACTTCCCTGCCCTGTATTTTGGGATAGTTACGGAGATTCAGAGTTGGGAGCTGATTCTTACAAACGACTTTCAAGATTTATCTCGTGGGATTTGAAAAGCTTGTTCCTATGCTTCTTAATCTTATGTGGATGCGTGATCCTCTTATTTTCTCCGCTGCGATTCCAGCATTGTTGTTACAAACAGCTGTTTTTTGTACCAATCTTCATATTTTGTGTTGTTTGGTTTGCGTTTCGGTAGCTTTTGATTATTCAGTTCATGGTTCTTGAATGAGAGGATGATTCCATTAACTAAACTTGACTTTGCTAATACTTTTGTGACAAGCTTTGACATGAAAAGAACATTGATTTGGTTTATATAAGGGGAGATTTTTAGGTCAGGGTATCAGAAGCAAATTTGATCAGTATGGCTTTATAGTTAGTAGATGAGTGCAAAGCCAATTTTTCTCAGTTTTTATGGGTATCTTAGTACTCGAGCAGGAAGAGAGTGGTCAAACTATACATTTAATGCTTTAATAAGGGTATCTCAACGGGTGTTTGAATCAATAACTCTGCTGTTCTTCTTCTTTTTGCAGTTTATAATTCACCATTTATTTTCTCTTTCTATTTAGGAGGAAGGTTGATCTGTAAAAAGGAGGATTTTTTTATGGTGAGTTCAACCTTGTGTGAACTTATTGCATCCAATCTCAAGTTTAGCTAGTTAAACTATAGAATCTTTGCTTGCAAATTAAACCTGCATAATTTGTCTTACAATTGCAAAGCTAGATCTTTGAAGTTTCTAAATAACTAAATTCATTTCCATCAATATTTTTCCAAGGATTCTCTCATTTTGCACAAAAACTTTTTGAATGCTCAGCTGAAAAAGATCTAGGTAAAGAAAAAAAAAACTTATTTTGCTATTAATTGTATAGTTCTTATTTGAAAATCTGTTCATTTTCTCAGGGGGAAGAGGCACCCGAATGCTTTCTTGATTTAAAACCACAGATCAACCAGTCCTTTACTTTCATTGGTGATAAAATAGTAAGCAGGCACATTAGTCAGATCTGTATTTATTTTTTTTTTTGGACGGTTAGGGGATTTGAGCCCGGGTGAGATGGGAGGAATTTCTTCCGTCGACCACTCGGCCGCAGACCCAATCTCCTCAGATCTGTATTCTCATACTCGTCTACGATAAAACCTTTCAGGATTTTTTTTTTAGCTGATTCGTTTGCTCATGTGCATAGTATGAAGTTGGAGGATCTGAGGACACAACCAACATATCAACTAGCATCAAGGTTTTTGATAGACTAACTAGCACATGGTGTGCACACTGTCAATTGCCATCTTCCTTGCCACTCATAGTTCTTTGCATGTGAAGTTGAAATATTTTATTATTTGATTTGGCAGGTTGGATCTGACGGTATTTGGCACGAAGCTTACTCCATCTAAAAGCCATGAGGCTATTCTTCTAAATAACGATCGAATTTTGATACTTGAGACAGAATCGTCACCTGATAATTGCATCTGGTTTCTTGAGGTTTTCGCTCTGCAACTTTTCTTAAATGTGTTTTGCTCCAGCTTTTTTTCTGTTTAAAACAGCCAGATGTTGTGTAACTGCTGAAGTTATTAGTATTTGTTATCTAAAACTATTTGAAGTATAATTAAATGTAAAGAGAAGCACAAGGTATTTAAATGATTCATGGGTTTTCTTGTTAAGTTCAGCTGTAGAAAATACAATTTCTATTTGTTTGCCTAGTTCATATCAGGTGAACTAGTGTGCTTGAATATCTAAGAGATTTAGAGTTTTATCTATGAGCTTCTTGATGCATCAAACAATGTATTCTAGTTGCTTTGATGTACAATGTAGCTATTTGTTAGACCTGAACCCGTCCTGGACCGGTTCATGTCTATGCCCGACGGTCCAAAGGAGGAGGCGGACAAGAGGGGGTGGGCGGCAGCATTGTGGGCCCCATGGCTTTAATTAAATAAGGTTTGGGAGGGAAATTTTGAATGAGGTGTTGTTTAGGGATTAATTAATTTTCCTTTTTTTAAATTAATTTTCTTTTTTGCTTTAATTATTATTTCTTGTTAGGGTTTGGGTTTATGTTGAATTGGAAATCAAATTTGGGATCTAGGGTTTTCTTTTGGGCTCTAGGCTTGGCTAGAGATTTGGAGAGCTGTTTCTTCCTCTCGAATTAAAGAAACTTGTATCCTTTGCTATTTTCCTACAACTACTAGTGGAATACTTCATTTTCTATCAGTTTTACTTCTGTTTTTTCCAAGGAACTTGCTGTATTTTGCTGTTTTATTGCTGTAAACTGCAATTTTACTCACTATTTTCAACAATTGTGGTTAGGTTTGCTTGCGAACTCAAATATTTCCTTTAGGGTTACTTGCAAACTCCAAGTATTTTCTAACACTATTCTCATACTCTCTTGCCTTTTAAAATTTTTTTGTAATATTATTTGGTAGGTGGACACCCCTTTTGTTAAACAGACAAGGAAGCTTCTTGGAAATGAGGTAGTGGCATGGAGTAAGGGTGTAATAGGTGATGGACCGAAGCCAATTGTAATCAGTGGTCCATCTGGGGTTGGTAAGGGCACTTTAATAGCTAAGCTCATGATGGAATTTCCTTCAACCTTTGGGTTTTCTGTAAGTCACACAACCAGAGCTCCAAGAGAGAAGGAATTGAATGGAGTTCATTACCACTTCACTGAACGGAGCAAAATGGAGAAAGATATCCAAGATGGGAAATTTCTTGAATCTGCATTGGTTCATGGAAACCTATATGGTACAAGCATTGAGGCTGTTGAAACAGTTTCTGATGATGAGAAGGTAATGTCAAGTGACTAACTATTTATAAACTCTTGGTGTGGAACAACAGCACATAAATTTACCTTTTTGATTTCTTTATTGTAGAGATGCATTCTTGACATTGATGTTCAAGGTGCTTCACAAGTCAGGGCAAGTTCCCTTGAAGCAATATTTATATTTATCTGCCCGCCATCTAACGAAGAGCTCGAGAAGCGGCTTCGAGCACGGTATTGATTAAGGCTTCGTTTAGGACGACTTTCTTACTGCTTCTTCAAGCAGCTTTCTAGTTTAAAATTTTAAATTTTTGAACTATAAAGCTGTTTTAAGAAGTAGTAAAAAAGCAGTCCCAAACGAAACCTAAACCTTAGAAACCTTTCTGGGTTTTACTCTTCAGTTAAGCTAATCCATGCAACCTTGTTTCATCATCTCAGTGGAACTGAAAATGAGCAGCAAATTGAGAAGAGACTAAGAAACGCTAAGGCTGAGCTAGCAAGGGGAAAATCCCCTGGCCTTTTTGATCATATCTTAGTGAATGATGACCTTGAAACATGCTATCAGAATTTGAAGGTGCCTTCATATAGAACAAAATCAAATTACTTACAAAAGTTGCAATATATTTTTAGTTATTGTGCTAAAATCCTATTTAATGTAGACATTGCTTGCTTTAGATGAGCACACCAATGCTCCTTCTCAACAATGTAAGCTATCTTCTCTCACTTTCTTCTCTTCCAATATCTTCCATGGCTGAGATTGCTGAAATTAGTCACATATCACACAGTTATGGAGAATTTCAAAATACCACTCTCTCATTCCTTATCCAAAGTAGATAGCAAGATTTTGATTCAGTCTCCTTCTGGCATGTAAGGCATTTTGAACCCATAATTACTTTTATTTTGCTCATTAATTCTCCACTTCAATCTTGAATTCCTTTCATTATTTCTTTCAAAAGGTTTGTGCTTGATTTGTCTTCACTGAAAGGCGGTGCCCCGGGCCGAACAAGAGGCCTTAGAATGTATGCTACAGATTGATGAAAATAGTCTGATTGATCTATCAAACAAATCACTTTAATCATCTATTGAGTAGTTTGAAGACTTTTGTTTGAGACAAATTGATTTAGCCAATTCAGAATCATGATTTGCAGAGTTCTTTGAAGCTACAGATCTTACAAACTGTTAAAACAAGTTGTCTTTTCTGTTTCTGAAAACTAGCTTACAGTTCTTCACTGGATATTCAATGAAGAGGGTGTCACCATGACTCTTGTAGGCATTGGCCATTCTTCTTTTAGATAGCTCTTTGATTCTTACTGCTATGACTGTTGTATTGTTCCAATTATGAAATGGAGGGATGTAATTAATTTGTGTTTTTTTTTTTGCAAATTTGGCATTGTTTGATGTGGTTTATATTTCTCCCTTTTTTTGTAATCAGAATAATTAAAAAAGCTTATTATCAATCATATTTTGGTATGGCTTATTTGCAAATAGAAATATTGCAGGCTGCTTTCAATAATACAAATACTTGCTAGAATGTTTAAAATAGGAATTTTGCATTACTGAAAAATAGGCAAATACCTTATAATAATAATAGTTATTCGGTTATTCCCTTTGCACAGAATGCTAAATAAATAAATAATTTCTAGGTTTTCTTATAACGTTCACACCTTTCTTTTGAGCATGATCAAACTCATTATATGAATAACAAAATTAAAAAAAAAATTCAAAACAAAGTCTTTTATTTATGATTTGAACAAATAACAATGATAATAAAATTTTCAATTTATTTTGTATTTTTTTTAATAATATTTAGTCAAAAACTTGATTATCAATTTTGAGAGGGAACCATTGAAAGAGAGAGAGAAAAAAAAAGAAAGAAATCATGAGATTGAAGCGACATCATATACATTAGATCAATCAAATGATTAAATGACTAAGATCAGACAGATAAGTATTACAGAGATGAGGATGCTCAGGTGGATGAGCGGCTTTACCCTTAACGATATGATACAAAATGAGTATATGCATGAAAAGGTTGGAGTAGCGCTAGTGGAAGATAAGATTAGAAAGAGTCACCTTAGATGGTTTGTTCACATAAAACAACGGCCTTCCAATGACCCGGTTAGGAAAGTTGAAGTATTGTATTTGACTTATGTTAAGAAAGGTAGAGGTAGACCTAAAAAGACTTGGTTAGAAAATATTAGAAATGATATTTCTTTATTAAATTTAAACTGAGAATTTGACTTTTAATAGGACACAATGGAGAAAAAAGATTCATGTAGCCGACCCCACGTAGTGGGACAAAAACTTGATGTTGTTGTGGTCATGATTTGAAACCTATTTTTTCCATGACTTCTCTTAGATGGGATTTTCTTATATATATATATCGTGTTTTTTTTTTTGCTCTGACTCGACTAAGCGAATTAGTCGAGTCAGAACAGAAAAAAGGGCACCTAAAAATGACACCTCTTTAAAGTTAAATTTAAAATTGAGATTGGGAACCCAAAAAGAATAAAAGGCCTACAGATCATCTGCAGTGAAAGCTTTGGCCTAACAGGAAAGTCCAGTGGAATGGCAGTCAAAGCCTCCTGTTAGCAAGATTCCATAGCAAATTTCTCATATCCTATTAGATTCATCATGACTTCCTCTTCAACAATAATAACAAATCTTTATCTCAATGACTGTAGGAATTCTTTTTTCTCAATTTCATCATATTAATAATCAAAATCTCATTTAAATTAAATTAAAAAATATATTCTCAATTACATCTATCTTTCTTAACATAATCAAATCTAATATATCTACTCTCCTAAGTAGGTCATCAGAAGGAGAAATTATTACGTGCGGATGATGTCCTAACTCCAATCAGAATATGCCACATCTGTATGTACACTCACTGTGTATAAACACAATTCATGTACAGACTGACATGACATTTTCTGATTGGAGTCTGAATACAAGCTACGTCTGATTTTTGCAGGTAATAATTTTTTCAGAGGCCAATGTTTTATATGACCAAATCATTTAACATAACTTCATCTAATCTTAATTATCACTAAAGTTATTCTAATCTTTTCATGCATATATCCATTTAAAATTATATTATTTACATACTTAATATTTAATAAATATATAAATAACATAATTTTAAATACTATGCATATAAATCTACTTTAAGGGGGCAAAAAAAAATGATTATCAAGGCCTCAGTCAGTTGCCACGTCACTCATCATCTCTAACGACGACCAGTACTTCTGATTCTATGGGACCGCCCCGCATCTCCCAGGATGAGCCGAGCCAAACGAACGGTCCAAAATACTCCAATTCTGACGGGGATCTCAACGGCTCAACCCTTCCTCCTTCGATTAAGGAAATTCCCTACCGTCGGATCCACATTCACGGCTCGCTGCCCATCCCAATCCCCGCCAAATACAATCATACTCTTACCTCTCTTCTCCGCCATTAATGGCGTCATCTGTACTCTCCTGCAACTTAGGGTTCCCTTCACTCTCCCATCGTCGATCCCTCCCCACCAAATCCTCCGCATCCATTTCCCTCAGACCTCTTCCCACCAGATCCCGCGCCTTCTCTCATGGAATCTCCTATCCTGTTCGAAAATCTGGGGTCTCTCCCCGGATCTCAATTGTGCGGGCTTCGGCTGCCTCAACCGCCGCCCCCCTCCCAGCCAAACAGTCCTCCCCATGGCAGGGCGCGGCGCTGAAGCCCTTAGCCGCCACGATCGCTACGGGCGTTATCCTCTGGCTCATCCCCGCCCCCTCTGGCGTCTCCCGCAACGCCTGGCAGCTCCTCGCCATCTTCCTCGCCACCATCGTTGGCATCATCACCCAACCGCTCCCGCTCGGCGCCGTCGCTCTCTTGGGCCTTGGTGCGACCGTTCTTACCAAGACCCTCACCTTCGCCGCAGCCTTTTCCGCCTTCGGCGACCCAATTCCCTGGCTCATTGCACTTGCCTTCTTCTTCGCCCGGGGGTTCATTAAGACGGGCCTTGGCAACCGCGTGGCCTACCAATTTGTATCCCTATTTGGCAGCTCTTCCTTAGGCCTTGGCTACAGCCTTGTCTTCAGCGAGGCGCTTCTTGCCCCCGCAATCCCCTCCGTCTCCGCTAGGGCCGGCGGGATCTTTCTCCCGCTTGTGAAGTCGCTGTGCGTGGCTTGTGGAAGTAATGTTGGGGATGGGACGGAGAACCGGCTCGGATCGTGGCTGATGCTTACTTGCTTCCAGACGTCCGTTATCACGTCCTCCATGTTCCTGACGGCAATGGCGGCCAACCCGCTGAGTGCGAACTTGACTTTAAATACTATTAAGCAGACAATTGGTTGGACTGATTGGGCGGTGGCGGCGATTGTTCCCGGCCTGGTATCTTTAATTGTTGTTCCATTGTTGTTGTACCTTATTTATCCGCCGACGGTGAAAAGCAGCCCGGACGCGCCAAAGCTAGCGAAGGAGAAATTGGAGAAGATGGGACCGATGACTAAGAATGAGGTCATAATGGCAGTGACACTCCTAGTAACGGTAAAATTGCTCATTTATTTCTTTATCAATAAATACTGTTTTCTCTGTGATGAACTATAGTTATGGCTGTTAACAATCGGTTCTCAAGCTGATAAGGCACCGGCTCAAGATCAGCTCAATCATTTGATTTGATCTTTAGTCGAGCCAGATGTTGCTGCTATTTACATTCGATTTGAGCCTGATTCAATCTAAAAATCGATCCAATTTGGATCAATTTTTATCCTCTAAAACAAATTCTAGTCCAATCCACATAAATTCACTTGTATATATATATATAGATGGAGAGAGAGAGAGAGTTCTGACACAGTTCAAGATCACATGATCGCTATTCTCTATCGTTATTTGCATGTCAGGACTAAGGTTGTTTTGATCGAGTTGACTATGTTGAATGATTACATTGAAAATACATAAGTTGGACTTGATATAACTTTTTGTGCTAGTTAGGAACTTCAAATAAGTTTCGAGTTGAGGGTGAGTACCTTAGGCAAGTTTTTCTTGCAAAAGTCCTTTAATTGATTGGCAAGCATTCTAATGTGACTATGTGAGTTTTCAAACATTTCAAGTTAGTAATTGAGTTATTTGGGTGAGTGGAAAATAGTGACTTCATGAGTCCTTAATTGACTTCAATAGCTTTGTATTGAGAATTGAGGAAGGCTGATTGTTGGGTGACTTGACGAGATGCGTCTCTAGGCTACTCAAGGGATTAGAGGACTTAAAACATTATGAGTTTTGAGTTATAAGTGGTTCACAATCAACAATTTGTTGAACCTGATTCAGGCTTTCATGATCACATACAATGAAATTTGTGCTCAAATCTTAACTTTAATTTTTTTTAATCAACCCCCATTTCTGAAAATTAGCAGCAAATTGAAGCTGAAGTACAAGCAATTTAATATTTTATTCTTATACGCCCCATACCACCTTAATTGAGGTTCTTAAGCGACTAACATACTATATATCAAAATGACAACATTGAAAATACCATTGCTTCAGGATAATAATTAAAAATGGCAATGTTGTATAGATTTTGCATACAATAAATTGGACTTTATATGAAATTAATGTGGTATTGTAAAGGTATCATTCAAAGTTTTTAAGCAAAGCTAGTTGTTCTAGTGTTGATGTTGTTGATTAAATTGTTATTTGTATACTTATCATAAATTTATAATTTTTTGCTATGATTTCTCTTTCCCCATTATTTTTCAAATGCTACGCTATAATGCAAATTTTGTCTTATTGATATTTTATGGCTTCTTTGTACTTTTTACACATTATTCTTCAAGAGTGATATGCAGGGTGTTGTCTAGATTTTTTAAGCCTATAGTTTAGGGGAAATCACTAGTTAAATTATGGATCGTGTCCAAATGCTTGGAATTTGGGACATCAAATGTGAATTTCTTTATGAAATGGTGAAATAGATTTCAATATTCTTTTATTTTTATCACTTAATTAAACCTTATAATTATATTGGAAGCTAATATTAACCCTTATGTGTATCGAAGGTGAAAATAAATATTTGTAGGTGATTATGGACCGTGTTTTGGCCTAGTGATTCATACATTGGCTCCCAACCATGAGATCATGTGTTCCATCCATATTCCTCACACTATAGCTTATTTCTTGAAAGAGTGATTAGGCATGCATTTTCATTTGGCTCTTGAATCAAGGGGTTGCCTCCTTCAATAAATATTCTTAAGGTCTTATAACTTGATTTGTGCCTCTTTATAAAAATATGGGATATGTTTCTATAAAAAATAAAAGGGTAAAACATCTTTTGATTATTATAAATTGAGTCTTGGTTTACTGGTTCATAATATAGCTCCTAACAATGAGGTCATTTGTTCGATTTTTACTCTTCTTACTATTTCTCAAATTTTCAAAAAATATAAGGTGTGCATTTTTGTTTGGCTCTTTTATCAAGGTTTTGTCCCCTGTGGTGAGTATTCTTAAAATCCTATATTGGGCTTTGTGCCCTTTATATCAGAAAATACATGGGATAGGTTTCCATCCTTAAAGAAAATATATCTTTAGATGCCAAAAACTAAAAGAAAATTCACAATTAGCAGGTGACAATAAGTGGTGTTTGAGCTCTATGGCCTCAACACATGCTTGGTGCATTTAAACTTATGTGTTGAGTCCGTTACGAGTTGAACCAAATTAATTTTGTGAGCCAAATAAATTGACTTAGCTTTTGAGATTATTAAAATTGTAGTGATTTTCAGAGAATTCTCAGTTTGAGTGTAATTTTCATCCCTATTTGTGATAAATGCTTCTCTCTAGGATAATTTCTGTACTCGTATAGTCTTTGTGCCTTTACCTTGACGATTACTTTTCCTTTTTTTTTGAGCTATATGGATTGTTTTTCTATATTGTAATTATTAGTTTCTTCAGTTTGTCGATCTGTTCTATCCCTCTGAGATGCACTAATTTTTTGTTTGGAAAATCAGTACAGGTTGGCCTTTGGATTTTCGGAGGCGTACTGAATGTGGATGCTGTGACTGCTGCAATTATTGGCTTATCAATTCTTCTCATAACTGGGGTTGTTACATGGAAAGAGTGTTTGGGTGAGGCAGTAGCATGGGATACTCTCACTTGGTTTGCTGCACTAATAGCAATGGCTAGCTATCTCAACAAATATGGTCTAATATCTTGGTTTAGTCAGACTGTGGTCAACGTACGTGGTCCTCTGTTTATGATTGTTATCCTTCCCTGTCACGCATTTCGATTGCAATTTGTAATGCTTATGGTCACATATTCATTAGTAACTATTCTTATATCAAACTGGAAAACCAAATTTGTTCCTGTCCTACCTAAATTTAGTTGTGTAGTCAGCTAGCCAGTTTTAGTAATTGGAAGGGTTAAATACATTAAGGAAAAACAGGTAAGTTCTCAGAGTTTAACAATTACATGTCAACTAATAGTAAGTGTTAAAATTTTGGAAGATGAAGCATCCATTATCTTAACTAACCTTTACTTAAAAACTGGATTCATATGAAGTTACTTAGATTAAAAATGAGAAACTTGGGCTCATGCTTTCATATATTTGGAAGTATTCAGTATTTCCTTAGATTAAAAATAAGAAGTTTAGGCTCATTCTTTCACAGTTCCAACTATTTCCTTCAAAATCCTGTACTCTTTGTTTCATAATTTTCTGTTCATATAGACATGCTTTCATTACTTGTGTGCCTGCCTGTTTGGAAGATAATTATGTTTCATTCTGAGCCTTGTTAACCATTGTGTTATGTTATATTTGTTAGATAACTTACTGATTTATTTTTGCTTCTTTGATCAAACTGAATGATTTTCTATTTTTATTAAAGAAAATGATTGAAATAAAGGTTTTGGTTCTAGAGTCGGTTTGGAAAGTCTTTGTTAGACTGGCCCAGGGGGCCAATTGAACCGGTCCATCCTGGACCGGTTCACTTCTACCGGAGGCAAACCAAAGGGGGGCGGAACCAGGGAGAGGGTGGCAGATGAGTAGATGGGGCCCATGTACTAATGAAGTTTTGGGTTGGAGGGAAAATTCAAACTAGGGGCTGTTTAGGGATTAATCAATTATCCTTTTTCTTTAATTAGTTTTTTCTTGTTAGGATTAGGGTTATCTTGAATTTTGAAATCTAAATTTGAGATCTAGTGCTTTTGTTTGGGCTCTAGGCTTTGGCTAGAGATTTGGAGAGTTGAATCTTCCTCTCGAATTGAAATTCACTGTATCGGGTTGCTTCTTTTCATTTCCCACTCAATTCTAAGTGTTTTTTTTTTGTGATTTCTCGACAGAATTTGTGAAAACTGCTGTATTAATGCTGAATTTCTCTGAAATTCAGCTCTTTTTTTCATTATTTTGTGTTGTTACCCATCCGTCTTCTTCAGTTTGCTGTGTTTTTTACAAGGTTCTATATGTTGTTTCAGGCTATTTCATTAATAAGGTTTAGATGAGCATGATTTGATTACCATGTCAAAGATGAAACATGCTCAAGACGTTCAGCTAATATTAAAGCATTTTTATTACAATAGATAAATCGTGCATTGTTTTCCATTAATATCATTTCTATTCCTAGTAGGAAGGAAATTGCCTTAGGATATTCTGACCAAATTTTTGGTCTGGATGAGTCTCAAAATTGATGGATTTTCTTTGAGATGAGTGCAATATAAACTTTGATTAATTTTTCATATATCGCACTCATCTCAAAGAAAATTTGATGGCTTTAGAATCCATCCTGACCTAAATTTTTTTCCTAGTTTTGGGCTTTGTTTAAGGTTATCATCTCATACTTGCATGGAAAACCACTTGTTTCCTTGATTATACCGAGGGAATTTTGGTTGGGAACAGGGTTAAACAATAAGATTAAAAATATTGTTTATTCTGTTTTTAACTGAAATAACTTATTTTATATTAGCGAGTTAGATCTATATGTTGTAGCAGTATCTCTAACTTCTGTTATAACTAAGGATGTTGGCTTTCAAATGTGTAATCCACTATGCTTTGCACTTGTTAGCAGTAACTATCAACTATCAAGTAATGAGCACATCTACAAGTCCAAGACAGACTACTTGGATGAAATCGAAACATGGGACATTTGATTTTTCATGAATAAATAATAATGGTTTATTATTAACTCATGCTTGAAATTTCAGAACCATTTAACTTTACACATTGTCATTCGAACAAGAATTTATATCACACCGTGCCATATTCTCATATATATCCTTCACTTGTGTATTCCTGCCAATTTTTTGTCTGAATATATATGCATCATACTATCTCTTCTATGCCGTATCCAACTAGTGGTAGAGATGGCATCTCTACGTATTCTTTTGGTTTTCTTTTTTTATCTGCCAAGGAGATGCATTTCAAGCTTCATTCAGCATCATTAGCCTTGCTGCATCGTTATCAATTCCGCCGTCAGCTGTCCGTTTGCTCGAATGAGCTGCGGATGCACCGAAATCCGACTTTGACGGCCAGAGAGTCGAATGGCTCGCAGCCCTCGCCGTCCGTCCTAAGCTCTACTCCAGCTTCGACGACCTTCCTGTCTTGTGGCTTCGACCAAACCGGAGACGAGCGGCCTTCCTCCCATTCGCGCGCTTCTTTCGGCCATTCGTTTGGCGTCGGGTCAACCCAGAAACCCGATGGGTCAAGTCCTGGTTGAGTTTTATGACCCGTTTGCAGAAACGGGTCAGTTCAGGTTGACCCGACTAGTGCCGGGTTAGTTCTGAGCTCGACTCGAACCCGACCCATGACCTGAAATTGACACCCCTAACGTCAAAACGAGAATCACTAGAGGTAAGAAAATATTTGATGAGTCTTCACGATCATGCAATAGATGGTCTTAAGCTATTTTATTTAGGCATATATTTTCATTAATTTCAAAAAAATACAGACCTTGAGATTCACTTTATCTCTATAGGCCTCGTGGCAAAAGTAGTATAGAAAATTCTTGGTTTTGAACTAAGTTCTAAATTATTTGTTAAATGGGAAGAAATCATCTTGTTGCAAATGTTATCAAGGAGACAACTCCTGAATGAAAATTAGTAAGACGGATTCTTATTCATACTTGAATGTGAATTATTTAGGGTCTTTTTGGCCCTGCTGCAGTTATCTACAAAGTTAACTATAATTTTTTTGAAAATTCTGCTGCTACTATAGACATTTTAGCATTTCAGCAGCAACTGTGTTGTTCTAGTAGTAGATTTGATTGTAAAAAATTATGCCATCAAATTTTTTTTTTTTAAACAAGCAGATAAACTGATAAACAAAAATTTCAAAATAGATCCTAAATCTAACTATTCAATTTCTAAAATATTTTTTTTTCTTGTTCACAGTTTGTTGGCGGCCTGGGTCTCTCATGGCAGCTTTCTTTCGGCATACTTGTTCTGCTCTACTTCTACTCCCACTACTTCTTTGCCAGTGGTGCAGCACACATTGGTGCAATGTTCACAGCTTTCTTATCAGTAGCGAGCGCACTTGGAACCCCTCCACTCTTTGCCGCTATGGTGCTCTCCTTCTTCTCCAACCTCATGGGAGGCCTCACTCACTATGGCATTGGCTCTGCACCTGTGTTCTATGGTGCCAATTATGTTCCTCTCTCCAAATGGTGGGGCTATGGATTTCTCATCTCTGTGGTCAACATAATCATCTGGCTTGGAATTGGTGGTATCTGGTGGAAGACCATTGGTTTATGGTGAGGTAACCCTAATTCAAATTTCATTTGATTTTAATTTTGATTGATCCCAACAAATTAGCAGTTTGGAACATTGAATCACTGATTGGTTTTACATTTCCATGTAAATTCTACAATCAGAGTAATCTTTTGGGCTGTTATTTTGTTGTTTGATGTACAAGTATGTGAGAAACTGTTCTTGGTAGATTTTTGGAAGATTTGGCTTTCTTCCTGTCATGTTTTCTGGGTTATAAAATTCTTATTTTGAAAAAGATTATCGCAAGAGCCTTTTTTTTGTGTTAGAAATAGAGTTCGGTTGGAGATGAATTACTGTTTGATATGACTATTACTGTATTTTGAAGTGAAAAGTAAAATTTTCAGTTGGAGACTCCCTAAAGAATTGTTAGGATTATTTTTTTCACCTAAAAGATAAAGTTGGCATGACCTTGGGAAGATGGGTGATGAATAAGGTGACATTTAAATGTTGGGATGGCTATGAAGGATTGTTGGAATAGTTCTCCTCTCAAAGTAGGGGTGTCAAATTTTGGCCCAACCTGAAAAAATTCGGGTTCGGGTCAACCCGTTTATATTACGGGTCTGATTCAGGTTCGAGTTTTTGACCGCCAATTCTTTCAAAATATGACCCAGCCCGAAATCTGACCATCAACTCATTTTGACATCCATAGACTCAGAGACAAAGATGACATGATCTTGGATCAATGGATGAGGAAGTCTTGAAAGGATGGTTGAGATGATCTTACTTATAAATGGGAAGATAAAACATTTCATGATTTTTCACTTAAATTTAATTAACGGGTTGTTCTTCTTAAGTGAACATAAAGTAACTAATATACCATATTAGTAAAAATTAAATAAATAAATTAAAAATATTAGTAATTATGAAGAATTAAATGACATGCTATAAATACAAAGATTTTTAATAAAATACTATAAATTTGAAGAAAATAAAATTTGATTCGCTTATCTTTGATATTTTAATAAGAGTATCACATATTAAAAATTATGTTCTTGAACAAAGAATTTGATGATTTTTTCATGCATCACAATAGAAGTCATCAAAATGAGCTTACTTATTTTAGGCTTCTTTCGGAACAAATTTTTTATTCTCTTCTAAATCTATTATAGAGAAATTAACTTTTTAAAGCAATCACTAAATAAAAATTATGAGCGATCTCGAAAACAAAAAAATATTAAGAAAATTCCACTTAGTCCAGATTAGGGATTAATTCATCGATAATCTCTGACTTATGTTTTATTTGAGATGATTTTCTTACTGCTTCTTAAAACAGCTTCTATTACAAAAATTGAAACATTTGTATTAAAAAATTGGTTTTTAAAAATAGTAAAAAAAATTATTCCAAATAAAATCTTATTGTTTCTGACGAAGTGACCTTCATAGCCCTACTCGTGTTATAATTGTCACCAGTGAGAACCATGTGCAACTTTCTTTTGGAGATAAAGAGATAATATCATTAGCATTAAAATTATTTTAATGCAATCATTTTAATTATTAATTATTTTGCATATTTAATTAATAATTTGTCTTGCAATATTGATGTGTTAGATACCTCATATTTTTCTATAATAAATATTTTATAAATTAGTTAGTTCCAAATTTTTTTTTATTACAAAAACTTACCCTTTTGTTGCAAATATTTCTTCTTTTTTTATACATTATATTGACACCAATTATTGGCATTTTAGAAGTAAGCCCAAAGTCTTCTTCTTATCTACATTTCTTTGGTTCATTTGTTGCCATTGAAGGATTGATGTCTATTGATTGATACACATGAAAGTGATCCTTGTCTTGCTTTTTAACATATGATCATTAGGGATTATTTTTTAATTTTTTTTTAAATTGTTTGGTCTATATTTTTTAGTTATTTTTGCTTATTTTTAACTAATCAAGCAAAATTTTAAAATAGTTAAAATAGCTTACAGGTATTTTTTTATGGGCTTTTTTATTTTCAAAATAAAAATCACCCTGACCCTGAGCCCTTGGTGAGGGTGATTTTAATTTTTTAAAACATAAAAAACTAAAATTTATTTTGAATATTTTTTGAAATAATTTGCTTTATTTATAAAAATAAAAATAAAAATAAAAATACCTAAAATTTAATTTTTTTTTTTCTACTCTGGTTAAGAGTAGAGAGTTATTTCTTCTGGCCAATTTGCAAATTCAGTTAATAAATATGATTACTTGTCAACATAATTAATATAAATTATATCATAATTAGATTTAAGATTTATTAAATTTACTTTAAGATTAATTCATCACAATTTTTTATATATAATAATAATTTTATATTTTAATATAATTTATATCAAATATTCTAATATATTTTTTCTTTATTTATTATTAATTTATCATTATGATTCTTAAATTTCATTTGGAAGAGCTTTTGACCATGGCTTTTATTCTACTTTTGAAAAATGTGTGTACTAGAAAATTAGTATTAAAAAAGCTGTACCAAAAGCTAAATCTGTTTGCCTAACCCTCTCCTCTTTGTAGATTCTAAATTGGTAAGCTGCCAAACAATGGCCTTTGAAAACATTATATATTTAATATTAATTAATAAAATATATTATTTAAATTTTTAAATATTACATATAATGAATTACTTTTTTATAAAAATAAATTCTAAAATCACTTGTGGCTCTAAAAATAGTTTGGTAAGAGCACCCAATATATTTCTATATATGAGTTCAAAACAAATATAAAAAATAAATTACTTTTACTTAAAAATAAAATATATTTATATAAAAATTATCAAACAATTAATTTATATTATAAAATTAGTAAATTACACCTAAAATTATTTTTTTTTATCGTAAGATAATTTACATTGTCTTATAATTTTGATTAAATTTCTTTATTATTTTTCTTATAATTCTAATATAAAAAGAAATAATTGTTTTTTCAAGAATATTACCTTTCTATAGTAAATAAATGAATCTCTGAAGAAAATTGTGTGGCTGGCCAAAAAGATCCTTAGACCAATTGGTATATTGGATTTGGCTTAGGAATAATTTGGGTGGGGAGTTACTCATTGAATGTGGGGTCCAATTTTCAGAGGGTTGGGTTATTATAGGATTTATACAAAATTGATTGGGTAGAGTTTTCATTCTTTGTATAAGGTGTATTATATATATAATGATAGAGAAGTATTATGTACAATGGCTTTATAAAAGTCCTACTCATGAGCATGATGCACTAGGTCAGGATGGACGTCGCTTACAAAAATTATCAGAGAAATTTCTGATGAGTAATTTTTATATGCACAAATCCTGAAACGCAAGCAATTATAAAAAGAGATTAAAACTTAATAACTTTCTTTGTGAACATCTCATTGTTCGTCTATCTCAATATCATAAGTAGTCTCTCCCGAAGGAATGCTTCACGTATGTTCCCCAGTCTTGGAATAGCTTCATAAGCCCACTATTTATAATGATATTGCATATCTAATTATATTATAATAGGTTGGGGCATTCTTCTTTACTATATCTCTCTCGTAATTCATCATCTCCTTCTGAGAAATTATTCTGTGCGGATTCCGGACGTTAATATCTTAAGACCTGACGACCTGACCCAACCCAGCTATCAAAATTTTGAAATCAAAGCAGTCCGCTCATTTAATTGGAGTCCGGATGTAGAGTTACGTCCGAAATCCGCACATAATAATTTCACTCTCCTTCTTAAGTTGTGAAAATGCCCCATCTCACGAGTATCTATATATAATGCGTCATCTTATTCAACTAGGAGAGACATCCTTGTTCTTATCATAATTGAGGATGATACCCTCTATAAAGAAACACAAAACCATGCTTTTATGAATCATCTTTCTTATTGCACTTCATTAAAGTGATTTAAAGGCCTATGTTCTATAAATTCTTATCCATATTACTTTTTGTCATCCTCTTGAACTCACCATTAATTAAAAACTCTTTAAATTCTAGACCAATCACTAAAACAAACTTTGCAATCTCAAAGGCCTATGAACTAGCAATATTCAAACCAATCTTGACACAATAAAGCCTTATTTAGGCTTATTGAAAAACTTATTCAAACACTCAATCAAATTTTCTTCAGCCCTTTTTCGAAGATCGTTTAACATGATTGACGAGGGACAAAGATAGGTTCAAGTGTTCAAATAAGACACAAATAAGTTAGAATAAGGTTATGATGTATTGAAGGTTGTTCAAATATTATTAATTTATTGGTTGAAAATGGTATGAAGGCTCTTCGAATTGATTGACCATTTTTAAAAATGATAAATTAGCTTTCAAATAACTATTTGATGATCATGGTTGCCAAATTTTATCACAGGCTGAATACGCATGCCCTGCAATCGTCTGGAATGAAGAAAGTGATGTGAAGAAGAAAAGTTGACGAGCTCTTAAAATATCCCTTAACTATTGCTTGAGGGTTCTCATTTTATTTATTAAAAAGTATAGGTATTTTAGTAGGGCTGCAAATGAACAGAGCCGAGTTGAGTATGTGCGTGTTCATGTTTGAGTTAATTTATGATCAGCTTGTTCAAGTTCGGTACAAGTTTGATTCGAGCTTGTTGTATTTGTGTTCAACAGTTCAAGCTTAGTTCATTTAAATTAACGAGTTTTCATGTTCGGTTCATTTCATGTTTATCGAGCTTTAAACAAACGAGCCTTATCGAACTATAAATGAACTATACTTCATGTGTCCATTAAATTAACAAATGAGCCTTGTCGAGCATTCTAACAAATAATTAGTTCGAGCATGTTCTTGATTATATCAAGCGAAATTTTTTAAACTATCAAATAAGATCATTCAGGAACATATATAATGAGTATTCTTGAGCTACCAAATGAGCTTTCTCACAAACAAACGATCTATGATTCATTTTATATTTATTTGGAGAGCGGGTTGTTCGTGATTTTAGGTAGATGCAGGAAATAAAATAAATTATTAAATGATTTTAAATAGGATTAATAAAATAAAATTAATATATATATATAATAATAATAATAATAATAATTTTAATCGAGCTTCTTAACGAGCTTGTTCATGAGCATTAACGATATTGTTCGTGAACATAAACGAACCGCGAACACCAAGTTGTTCAAGTTCGTTTATTAAGTTATCGAGTATTTATCAAAAGTGCTCAAGCTTGTTCGTTTAACTTATCAAACGAATATGAACGACCTCTGATTGAGCCGAGCCGCGAGTAGCTCGTTAAATGCCCTGTTCATTTGCACCCTTATGTTTTAGTTTAAAATGAACT